TTTATATTTATTAGTCTTAATTTCACGCTTACAAAAGTACTCTCTATGTTTTATAAATATATATATATATCTCTATATCTAGTGTTTGAATCACTATGCTGAGTACTATAAAAATTTGGTGTAGGTATTTTGTCATGAAAATCGCGAAATAAAAATATATTACAGTATAATGTTGAATTTTTACAAAATATCATATTCAAAATTTCTTAGCCTAGGAAATTCAACCGTTCAATCAAATCATTCAACAATTCAAAAGTTTTATTCTACTCCATTAAATTATATTTCCACGAGAAACCACCTCCTTTTCTGTTCACAATTGAAACACACTATGCTTTTTATGAATATCTACCTATCTTATTTTACTGACTGAAAAGTATTACCAGCAAAAATTTCACGTTCCGTAAAAATCGAAAATCTAAAGAGAATTCCGACGCAGTGTTAATGATCGCTGATGTATAAAGACGTTTGTCGGATAGTCTGGTTAGGAGGAAATCAACGGCAGCGCACACTCTGCCCTTCCGTTAAGGTACTAAATTGATGAATGAGTCGCGAAAACGGAAAACATTTCATTGTATCACGCCGGTCCGTGGACTAATAGAACTTGTCCAACTCGATTATTCGGCTTGAAGATGCGTGAGCTTAATGGCCGCCGGCCAAGTTCCAGGCACAGAGAGTTTAAGTGACTGATGTTTCTGGATTATTTGAAAAATTCGCGAAACAATATCCGTACGAAATAAATCGTTCGAGTTAGACTGGCGTTACGTTTTTCGTTCAGATTAAATACTTAATAGTATTGCATAAGACGTAAAACGATGGGGAAGAGAACGGAGGCAATACAGGCAAACACGAGTGAAAAAGATGTAGCTCTAAGGCGGTGGCTTGACAGTTTCGTCCACCCGGGTGCCATTAAGTAAATTGACTTCCACACATACCAACAGACTAAATAACAATCTAATTTCCATAATGCGTAAGCGACACCGCTTTTTTTCATCGGAACGCATTCCTTCTCCCTGCTATAGCTATAATATGCTTGGGTTGCATTGCTTTATATTCTAATGTTCCATGCTAATGAACATTCGCGTAGACAATTTGGAAATTCGTATCGAGCTTCGGGTCAAGCTTTATTCACATTTGATGAGAATTGTACACGGTAAAATTATTATTACGACATGGTCTATGTTCTACGAAATTACATAGAACATGGTTCGTGGAATGACATAGTTGTTTCGTTTGCCTGTCAGTCTAACACGATAGCTGACAACTACAAGCACTCAACGTAACTGTGACTAGCAATCTTAATTACGAAAGTTAATTTCTGTCTGCGGTCATTTACATATTGTCGAACAATTTCGTACGATTAGTGTTTTTGAATTTAGACAATCTAGCGATTATACACACATACATTGAAAAGAATATTTAACGTGACCTAAGTCGAGAGTGCTTTTAGACTGGCCATCGTAATCGGTTGATAAATACGGGCTAAATAAAATGACGTAACGACTTACCCTTGACATTCGGCAACAGCTGATGCAATTTGATCCAGATTTAGGGCTTAACCCTATCGGTCTTCAGTAGAGGGTGGACAGGTTCGCTCCTTAGGACACTGACCAGCTGTGTCGGACAACAAACGGCTATCGCTCGGTGGACCGGAGTTAGGTTTAATTCGGTGTATATTACCTTTAACCTCTTTCATTGGCGCATCGGTCACGTACGAAGGACATTGATGCCTGTAATTAAGATGGAAAAGAATATCAGTCACATATGTAACTTTGTGGACCGCACGAGTATATTGATAATGAAACTTTTGTAACTTAATGACTGGAGTCCCGTAATTTCAATTAGTATTGGCATATAAAGGATATTTCATTTTTCTAAAATTCTTTTAAAAACGCTGAAATAATTCTCTTGGCATTGCGATCGAATTTAAAGCAAAAGATCGAATAACATATTCATTTTTGAATGAATAGCAAATATAAAGTGAACAACTTCAAACACAAAATCACATGTGAATTTTAAATAAAGATTTTCTAAATAAAAAAAACATCGAAATCTGTTGCAGCAGCAAAGACAAATTTAAATGTGGGGGAGTATGGCGGTACCACAGTCGGAGGCGGAAACGGATCCCCATATGCAACCACGGCGAACGGTCCTGTAAACTGTCTTACCGGCGGGCCTATGGCCGGTATTGCAGGTAACTTCAACAATACTGGCCGAACCAACTTTACGAACAAGCAACTTACGGAACTCGAAAAAGAATTTCACTTCAACAAGTACCTGACCAGAGCAAGGCGCATTGAAATCGCGTCAGCGTTACAATTAAACGAAACGCAAGTAAAAATATGGTTTCAAAACAGGAGAATGAAGCAGAAGAAGAGAATGAAGGAAGGCTTAATACCAGCTGATAATACGACTGTGACGCCGCTTAGTGGCGCCAGAAGTTCGAGTAATTCACCGACTAGTTCTTCAAGTCACGAAACTAGTGGTCTTGGATTATCTAATTTTACGAGCGACAATAGTCGGGAGTCTCCACCTTCGTCTTCGAAAGATTGACGCGTTCCTTGCTGCAGCAATGAACGTATCTATGGCCTACGACTTAACAATGATTGGTGAAAATTGAGGAAAAAAGAAATATTATTTTAAGCCTCGTAATTTAAATTTACATGAATTTCCTTGCTGCAGCGGTAACAGTAATTAGTATTTCCAACTTCAATAGAACGGAATCATTGTAACGATAAATGATATAGTCTTTCGACGATTTTGAAAATTATCAAAATTAATCGTATAGAAAGTATAGAAATTGAACGATGTATGTACCAATTAAGCAAATTATTTATTTTCGTTTCAATCGTGTATTTCGTAAAGGCTACGAGCAGGATTTCCGAAAGGTTACCATATACCTCAGTTTGTGTAAATGGCATAATAATATTTATATATAATTATAAATACCAATGATTGATCGCAACATATTATGTAAAAAAAATTGTGAAAATAATATTCTTGGATGCTAATTAATGGCACCTAGAGATCAATCTTCTTTTTGGTGAGGACAATTATTGTTTGATGTTATCATCTCTATTATACATATGTATTGATATTATCATAATTACATTTTTTACTCGCCTCTCCCTATTCCGTTTGTTCCCGAAAATTTAAACATTGATAAATTCCTATACCAACGGATATGATATCTATGAATTATTGTAAAATTGTTATATAAATTACATGCTCAAATAAATTATTAAATATTAATAACAGTAATAAAAATGATCTTCATAAATGTAATATTATATTTGTAGATTATATTCTATAATGATTCGATAATGATAGCATGATAACAGTAGTTGTGCTCCCAATTTGAATATCTTCTGTATGTATATGTATATAAAATCTAATGCAAATCTTGTGTGAGTAACAATACGTATTGTTATACAGCAAGATATTACCAAAGTATTAATAAAAAGGGAATACAAGAATATTGCATTGGCGCTATAATTACTGATTGAAATACATAAATAAAATATGATGAACTCTATAATGAACATCTTTTTAAATGGATGCAAGATTTGCATTGATTCTATTTAACTTAACTTGACCACTTAAAAATTAACAAATTAATATAATCGTATAATTATATAGATTATATTGTGATCTAATAAGAAGTTCTGTACCTAAATGAATTTGAATATAATAAATTGTAATTATTCTGTAGTGTTATTTAGAATTCTATTAGAAAGAATAAAATATTAATACACTACGAAAAGAAACTTATGAAATCTACTGAAATTCCAAAATAAAACGATTTACCTAATTATGACATCGTATTTTACGATTTATTCAGCGCCAGAAGCCGATCACAACTTTTTAATATACCGCACTAACATCTTTTAACAAATTCTGCGCGCGATCGTGTCTTTCAACGATTCCTAACTAATTTTAAATTCAGGCTGGCTAACTTTTTAAATCCATGTGACGCATTTAACCACCACTTTGAAGTTTACTAACTTGTCAAGTTTGTTACAGTTGGTAACATTGTAACACATGTGATAAACATAACCTCCAAGTATCACGTTACAAATTATATAGAATGAATTTTTAAAAGTGAGTGAACTTGATGGTTTAATATATTTTTTTTTATCATAACTTTTCTATTTCGTTATTATTTTCATTAAGAATAAAAATGATAAAATAATAGTAACAAAAATGGCGACTATTGACGATCTTGGTAATGCAAAAATAAGTACCAATGATTTGCTTGCTTTTCAAAGAGAATTAAAACAAGAAAAGGAACTTTTACAAAAAATATTGATAAAAATTGACGATCAATTAAATAGTTTGCAGGTAAATATTTACAATATTTTTTTCATTTGTTTCAAAAAATATTTTATATAATAAAATATTTAGGTGGAACAACTTCATTTATTGGGATTAATGAACAAATCATTAAAAGGTACAAAAGTAAAGTCTCAAATGTCTCAACAAATGTATAAATCAACAAATGATAATCAACAAGCCTCCACAAATAAATTATTAGACTTGTCTATACCTTCAACTTCCAAATACTACGAGGAAGAAATGGAAGATGAAGATGATTAAGATAAATAAATCTTATAATTTAAGATTGTAAACTATACATTTTATATACACTATTGTAGTGATCTGTTTTGATAGCTTAGTACATTCTGTTTACAAATAAAGTAATTGAATGAGTCAATTTATTTTATAAATATGTTTCTTATTAATAAATGTGCTAATATGTTCATGTGAAATGTTTTATCTTATTAACAGTAATCAATAAAAGTACAAAAACAGAATTAAATAAAAACCAAACTATTATTATTTCTTAAATGAAGAAACTAAATTATCTATACAAATTTGACGTACTGGCAATATGATAGCTTCCAACTACTATCGTTTCAAAGAGTATGAAACATTTGTACTTAATTAGTTTAAGTGTAATTTAAAATATATCTAAATATTTATAAATTTTACGATGGATGACCTTGTCTCAAATGGCTTGGATCTTCAGTAAATGATGGAGGTTTGAACTGTTCTGCAGATAAACGGGTAATAAATATTCCTACACCTTCTATTAAAGCCAATAATACTCCTCCAATAATTGCACTACCAGCCATAGCTGGTAAACCATTTCTTGCTGCTAATATTCCACCTGTGGCTGCACCACTAATAATAGAGTTCCATGGATCTTCTTTCTTCCTAAGATGAACCAATGTACAATCTATTGTGGAAAACATTCCACCCCACAATGCAAAATTTCCAGCAATAATAGGAGATTTCTGCTTAATAGCTGTAAGACTTCCTAAAATCCTCTTATTTATCCCACTGGGTGCATTACGAAAGCCTTTGATACTTTGAAATACTGCTCCACCAATGGCACCCATGGTAAATGCACCACCACAGTCATCTATTATACGCCATGGGCATGGTTCTCTTGCGTACTCTTCCATTCCTTAATTGATATTCTGTAAAAAGTTTATTTAATTCGCATAGTTTTTTATAGTACAATTATCAAATAACGATAATAACTTCATTATATTGTCATATTACTGTTTTCTACGTGTATGATTATTATTATTATAAAAATAAAAAAGAAAAACTCCAAATATTTAATATTTTAAAATTGTCTATGAATGTTTAATGAATTTTTTAATTTAATATAAAATTTATCAGAGACCAAAAGTAACCTTCAGTACTAGCTCTTTTGAACTTTATACTGACAGTAATGTTTCTAGAACATTCTTTTTACGCTCAGAGTATCTTTATAGATATATTACGTAAAAATAATATATTTGTGTATACCTAAATAGATCAGAGAAAAAAATATAGAAAAAATTGTACGTGTTGTAAGTGAGGTTATGTGACTAGATCTCATGCATCCTCATTTAACACGTGTATAACGATTTTAAAGATTGCAATACATCAATAAAAAATCATACTTCCATTATAAAAACAAAAGCTTTTCCATTATTTACCATAAAATTCGTTTCAAATAGTTCCGCTGCCGAAGAACTCGAAAAGATATCTCGAGCACGACACTGTGGTGAATGCAACTACGTTAATGAATTTTCATATGAAAAAAAGTTTCTCGATTATGTAAGAGTAAAAAGATTAGCAATTTAACACAATAAATAATTTTTCAAAACTCAAATATTTTTTACGATCATTCTGTCAAATTATTTTTTTTTTATGCTTTTCAATATTATGTTTGAATTCATTCGAGCAAGCGATGCATTAATTCTGACCCACATTGCATAATATTTCAAAATGAAACTATCGTACCAATGTCTTGCATAAATATATTTTGTTCCACAAATAATCGTACAGTAATCCAGAACATACTTATAATTCGAACGAATAATCAGTGACAAAATTTTGTCATATACTAGGTTTAAATGCAATACGATTTGCTGGACGCTAGACTAGGTACAGGTTTAGGATAGTTTAAAATAGAATCAGCAGACAATGTCCAAAAATACATCATACTTTTCATTAGTCCTGGATATCCAGTCGCTTTTCTCTGACAAGAAGTCCCGCATTTAAAGACGCGCTTCATTTTTTAACATATTCTGTTTTAAATTACCGGTAATTAGTAACACCGATTTTATAATATATTTTACGATCCAAAGTTACTAAAACTAAATTTAAGTAAAAAAGATTATACGTAATATTTAGAATCTTGATCGTTGGCCAAACAATCGATAGAGTATAAAACTGGCAATAAAAAATTATTTTGTGCCTGAAAATAAAAATTATTACCAATTAATTATTATTAACGATAGTGAATACAGTGAGAATTCATCGATAACAAATTCGTTTTTCCTCTGTTTCGTACAATTCGTGTATAGCATATAAAAGTGACGTTTCTTGCAGATAAAAATGTCAGGCAACGAGAGCTTTGAATCAGCCACTGAACCAAACTCTAAAATAACAGAGCCCGATGAACGAAACAATATAAAAGATACACCCGAAACTGAAGTCGAAAGTCCAATTACTTTAACAGAGAGTAAAAATGAACTCCAAGAACTGGAAGACATCGAGTGTAAGGTTTCCCTTTGCACAGATGATGAAGTCGCGGAAGTGCCTACGAAAGAAACAGACGTAGCTATCATTGAAAATGCAAGAATTATCTGTGAAACTGTGAATGAATCTATAGAAAAGAAAATAGAGAACAGTACGACGAAGCAAAATGAGCTACCTGTATGTTTAAAGTAATAACGAAACTTGAAATAATCGAACGTTAATCTTGAATTTGTTTTGAATGAAACTTTGAATTTTTTTTACAGCCAAATATTCCGGAAATTCAGCAAGAGGCATCCATAGGTGCTGGAGACACTTGCTACGTGATAAGACAGGATGGAAATATTGATGCTCAGAAACCGGAAGAACAAGTTGCTACTACTGGCATAATCGATCAGATTAAACTGGAAAGTAATAAACCAGTGATAGAAAACGATAAAAATGTAACTGAAAAAAATGAACTTATGATATCAAAGTTAAAGGAAGAAGTTCAGGTAAAAATTTTATAGAAAAATTGTGTACAAAAGAATTGGCAATAGCTATCAGACTTTATGAAAGTATAAACAATGAGTAACTGTTATAAAGTCGTACCTATTTTTAGAAAACGATCAATGAACGAGACTCTTATCATAAGAAACTGGAAAGCGTAGAAAAGAAATTAGCTGAGTTACAAGCGACATACGATGCTCTGTTAAAGGGTGAAGGTAACGAAGTCATGTTGCGTCGAATGGTGGACCAATTGAAGGGGAAACTTATTCAAACTTCGTTGCAACTAGAGGATCGAATTCGTACAGTATCTAATCAGGAGAAACAAATTAGCGCGTTGAACAGTCAGGTGGCTTCCCTAAAGGAAGTAGAATCTCTTACCAGAAGTCTGTTGCAAATTCGTAACATGGAAGTAAAGCATCTGCAGGTAATTAATAATATAATCAGTGTATGTAATATTTTATTATCAAATAACTATATCATATAGAAAATCATTTTCTTCGGTTATACAAACACCGCAATTTTAAAACGAAGAAAACTGAGCGAATGTTTATGTATTGTTATAGGCAGAGGTCGATGATATGGAAGTTCGAATTTCTGAGGAACGTGAACGATATAACACAATGATTAACAAAATGGACGCCGCGGTGAAATTAAATGCAGACTTGAAGAAAGAATACGAAACGCAGCTTTGTCTTTTCCGAGATCTACGAGAAAAGTATGAAGAGAAGGTCTCGTTGTTGTCAGAAGAGAAACGCGCACTTGAAGCTAACACACCATCTTCTAAATAAGAATGTGTTTTGCACTCGTTGAATTGTTTTATAATTTGTATAAAATATAAACTCTGGTTAGAAACAATTTATGTCTGCGTACTTTTTAAATTATTCCCTTAATAGGAGTGAACAGAGCTTTAGATATCGATATATTTAATAAATTCTTAGTAGAGTTCATAGCTAATACAAAAATACATTATAGAATTTTTAAATGAATGTACATATATATATATATATATATATATATATATA